TGCTGGCCACACAACGGAGCACTGTCTGGCCACACACAGAAAGGAGTGCATTCTGCCACAGGAGGGAACCCTGAAAACCAACTAAGCCAGACACACACACTGCACAGCTCCATTTGAATGAAGTGTCCAGAACAGGCACACCCCGAGAAACAGAAAGCAGACCGCTGGCTGGCGGGGACGGGGAGAGAAGGAAATGGGCAGTAACGGGTATGGCATTTCTCTCCGGGATGGGGAAACGTTCTGGAATTAGACAATGGTGACAGTTGCGCAACTTGGCAAATATATTAGAAACCACTAAACTGTGCACGTGTGAGTTGTATCAATTAAAAAAAAAAAAAAAAAAAGCAGATCTCTACCCACCCTATAGAACTACATTCCTTTGTTGCTGTCCCACTCAGAAGACACCAGCTGTATGTATCACTGTCAACTGTGTGGAAATCAAAGGGGGAGGATGCACAACAACGACGACAACCACCACCACCACAACCCATAAAACCCCAATATTTGGTTTCCACAAACATACTGGGCTCCCACTCAACTTTTTATTTATTTTTTAAAGAGTTTACTTATTTGCCCTGGCTGGCGTAGCTCAGTGGATTGAGCACGGGCTGGGAACCAAAGTGTCCCAGGTTCGATTCCCAGCCAGGGTACATGCCTGGGTTGCAGGCCATAACCCCCAGCAACCGCACATTGATGTTCCTCTCTCTCTCTCTCCCTCTCCCTCTCTCCCTCTCTCTCTCTCTCTCTCTCCCCCCCCTCTAAAAATAAATAAATAAAATCTTAAAAAAAAAAAGAGTTTACTTATTTATTTTTCAGAGAGGGCAATGGAGGGAGAGGGAAAGAATCATCAATGTGTGGTTGCCTCTCACACACTCCCTACTGGGGACCTAGCCTGCAACCTAGGCATGTGCCCTGACTGGGATTTGAACCACAACCCTTTTGTTCACAGCCCCCTGCTCAATCCACTGAGCTACACCAGCCAAGGCTCAACTTCCTATTTTTTAAACTAAGAGGCACTAGCCCTGGCTGGTTTGGCTCAGTGGATGGAGCACGAGCCTGTGAACCAAAGGATCACCAGTTCAATTCCTGGTCTGGGCACATGCCTGGGTTGCAGGCCAGGTTCCCTTGTAAGGGGTGCTTGGAGAGGCAACCAACCACACATTGATGTTTCTGTCCCACTCTTTCTCCCTCCCTTCCCCTCTCTAAAAATAAGTAAGATCTTTAAAATAAAAAATAAGTAAATAAACTAAAAGGCACTAATAAGTAACTAGAGCACTGAGAATATTACCCTGTATGTAAAGTTACTTTTTAGGACTTCAGATAACTAACCCCGGCTTGGGCACAGCTCACGCCAACCGGAGGGAAACCACAGTGCAGCCGAGACCCTCATGCCTCGGGTCAAATGAGAGCACGCCGCCTACACACAGGCGAACTGAGCTTAACAAGTCACCTGCCTGCTTTCTTCACCTGGCACCAATTCTCACTCCAGGTCTGAAGATGAAACCGCAGTATTCAGGATTAGAACTTAGGACATGCATGGTTAATTACAAACTGTTTATCTCCTCTTTGGTAATAATTCCAAACCACAAGAAGAAGGAAGGTGGATAGATTACCACAAAACATGTCTGAAAAAATAGGCCATGTTATGTTATTACCATCATATATTTCTAACCATCTCTGTGCAGAGTACTCTGCACCACAACTAGTTCTAAAACAACAACGAACCCCAAACAGCGCAATCAGTAAGCGGTCACTCGCACAGGGGAAGTATGACTTTCAAGTGCGGACTCCAGCGGCCATCAGCTGCCCACCGTCAGGGCCAGGACTGCGACCGCTGCCCGGCTGGGTGTGTATCACTTGGCCTAGGGGAGCCACACTACAAAATTTTCAGGGTATGGAAAGTAGGTTAGCAATTTGGTAAGATCAAATGGAGAACATGTAAAATGCCTGGTTTCTAGATTACTATAGAATCAACAGGACGTACAACGAGAAAAAGTGAATTTAATTCTACGTGGTTAATGTTACCTCTACCTGATAAGTTCGAGTGGTGTCCTACATTCAGCAAACTCATCATAACCAAAACCTCCACTTCTCCTCCCCTCCCTCATTCCTTTCCTATTAGGACAAAAACGAGACTTTTAGTTTCGATATAATCAGTGGGCAACCCATCTCAGCTACCCAAATGTACAGGAGACATCTTTTGACAATCGTTAAGTCCGCAACTGGACGAGTTCCATTTGAACACGGAGCTCCTGCTAACCTCAAAGGCCTCTGAAAGGCGGAGCAGCGCCTGTCAGCACTTGCGATTGAGGGTTCGGCAGCAGTTCCGACCCCTCGGCTTCGGCCTGAGCCACAGGCCCACGGAGCAGCTGCAGTTATCTCAACTTGGGGCTTCCAATAGATACAACCAGACCAGCTTCTCATTCTCAGTCCAACCTTTTCACCGTCTAGTTCATTTGTCCCTCTGAATTTTAAAAATCCCTTAATACTCCAAGGTCCCGTTTGGAGATTCCATCCAACTTTCAGAATCATGAAATAGCGTTCAAGTAATTATGAGGGCAGGGCTCTACGATCACAGGTACTAGGCTAACTAGCTACGGCAGGGTTAATCTCAATCTATTTACTGTCCCAGCAACTTAACTAAAAAGATTATGACTAAGATCCGGACGTGGAAAAAACCCAGCTTTTTGATAGCTGTATCTTTTATGAAAGACTTACACATGCCTTAGATCTTTTCTCTAGCCTTGACTCAAAACAGTATTAAGAGTAACAGACGTTTTCTAGAATCCTTTTCACGGGGAAAATAAGGAGATAGCTTTCTATCAAGCAGAAAACACACGTAAAACCTTAATGTATTAGACTTTATTAATTCCTGGTTTAACCAACCCGCATATTTGCAGAGAGACAAATAAGCAAACAACTTCCAAAATGTCAAACGGAAAGGACTATCTACAAGCACTCGCGGCCCCTCGCCACGACGCGCCGCAAGGAGCACTGGCAAGGCCCGGCAGCGACGCGGAGCCCGCACGCGCCAGCCCTACGTGCCGCGCAAGTCCCGCCCCGCGAAGGCGAACGCCGCGCGGGCGGGGTCTGGCCTGCGCGGTGCGTGGGAGCAAAGGGCCGGGCGCCCCCGCCCCCTTCGGCAGGCGCCTCCCGGGAGCAGTGGATGGTCCGGGAAAGGGGGCGGGGGCGCCGTGAAGGGGAGAGACGCCCCCTAGAGGAAGGCGGGGGGAACACGGCGGCGGAAGGCTCGGCCGGGCCCCAGCGCGAGGTCCGCACGCCCCACCAACGCCCTCCGCGCACCTCACCCCCGAGCCTCGCGGGGAGCCCGCCGGGAGGGGGCGGCGGACAACGAGCGGACGGGCCGTCCGTTGGCCCGAGCGCGCCCCGCCCCGCCCGCGCCGTGGGACCGCCCCGCCCGGGGAAACTACGCCATTGCGGCCTAGCGGGCGGCGCCGCTCCTCCGCCGCCATCTTTTCGGGCCGCAGCCGCGGCCGCCTGCCACCCCCGCCGCGGCCCGCCCGCCATCTTTTAGGGCCGCCATACTTGCCTTGCGAAGAAGATGGCGGCGCCCATCACACACATAAAACATGGCTTCCCTTCAAAACAAAAACATCCCGGGGGCCGGCGCGGGTCGGCGCGAGCCGAGGCTCACCTGAGGACCACATGGTGACTGAGAACTCGCCCTCCAGGGTCTTGATCTGAACCTGCTTCTGCTCCCACTTCTTGTTGCCCGCGTCCGCGCCGCCCGCCGCCCCGGCCCCGCCGCCGAGGTAGCCCTTCTTGCCGCTTTTCTTGCCGCCGCCCTTCTTGACGCGGCCGCCGCCCGACGACGACGAGCTGCCGCCGCCGCTCTTGCCGGCCGCCGCCACGGTGACCAGCGTCTGCTCGATGTAGTCGTCGTCGCCGCCGGCCGGAGCGGGCACGGGGATGAGGATCTGGTCCTCGAAGCCGTCCTCGGCGCGCAGCCCGTCCGAGTCGTCGCCGCCCACCACCTCCTCGCGCGTCTGCACCAAGATAACCTCCTGGTGGTGGTGCACCTGGGTCGGGTCGTCGGTGACGAGCGGCTGCAGCGCGATCATGGGAGGATGGTGGTGGTGGTGGTGGTGGTGGTGACCCGTGTGCCCGTGGCCGCCCCCGCCGCCGTGGTCGCCGCCGCCGCCGTCCTCATCGTCGTCCTCCTCCTCCTCCTCCTCGCCCACTACCGTGGTCTCGATGGTCTCCACCGGGATGGTCTCCACTTCGATCTCGTGCAGCTCCACGATTTCGGCCGGCATCTCAGAGCCGTCTGTGGCGATGTAGAGGGTGTCGCCCGAGGCCATGACTGAGGGCTCCGCCGCCACGGCCGCGGCGGCCTCGGCTCCGGGGCTGCGGGCGAGGAGGCGGCCGGCCGTGGGGAAGGAAGGCAGAGGGAGGAAGGCGGCGGGCAGGCGGGGGGAGAGGGGGCGGGGGGAAGGGGCGGGCGCGGCGGCGGCGGCGGCGGGCTTCCCCGCCTCCTCGCCTCGGTGCGCCCCGCGCTCGCTCGGCCGCTGCTAGCCCCGGCGCCCCGCCTCGCCGCGCCTTGGCCTCCCTCTCTAGCCGCGCCTCCTCCCGCCCTCCGGGCCGGCGCTCGGCTTCCCCCTTTCTCCTGCGCCTCCGCCTCCTTCCACACAAATACCAACTCCTCACCCCGAGCCCAGATCTCGCTGCCGCCGCCGCCGCCGCCACACTCCGCTCGGGCTCGGCCTCGCGAGACTTCCGCGCTCGTCCGCCCCGCCCCGCCTCCCTCCCACTCGCCCGCTTGCCCTTTCGCTCCTCCTCCCCTGCCAATCGGTTTGCTGGTTCGCCGCTTCGGCCCCGCCCACTCCCCCGGGCTCCTCCCAGATTGGGGCAGGCGGGACGGCCCCCGCGCGCGCTGGCTGGCCCGCGGCGCGTGACGTCAGCGCGCCGCCGCCGCTAGTCGTGCTACTCCCGCCCTCCGCGGTGCAACAGCATCAAATCCGTCGCCCCGGGCCGCACACGGGATCGGGGCGTCGCCGCTGCAGCCACCGCCTCGGGAGCTGGTGAGCGGTGCGTGCGGCGCCGTGCACCCTGGGGGAGGACGGGTCGATCGAGCGCGGGGGTCATGGTCGGGGGTTGAATGGGGGAGCGGGCGGGGCGCCCCTGGCGCCCCAATAAAGTCTGTTTTGACGAGAAATGCCTGAGCCTTGTTTTTCGCGTGGGATGGCGTTTGCTCTTGGCTCCTGGCTCAAGCGGGCAATGGCGGCGGGGTGAGTGAGGAGGGCCCGGCGAACAAAGGCGGGCGGGCGGGCAGCAGAGGACAATGTCCGCTGGCTGCCATGCTCTCACCTCTCCCGCCTGGGCCCAGGGCCGAGCGCAGGGTGGCCGCGCGGGGCGAGCGGGTGGAAGGGGCGCGCGGAGTCCCCGGGTCCACCGTTGGGAGAGTGTCCGTTATCCTTTTGTGACCCGCGGAAACCTGGGACGGAACCGTTAGTGCCTATTTCCCGCTAGATCTTAGAACTCGGGGTCTCGGCCGCTCTTCGTGTGGCTTTTTTCAGTTTTCTACGTTTTCCTTCTGAGCTTCCCTTTCTTGGCCCTACAGCCAACCGTGGTTTCTTTTGACTGCTGTCTTCACGTTTCTCACTTTCCTGGAGGCGCTTCATACCCACCAGGCTTTGCCTCCTTTTTGTTGAAAATTACCCAGTTTTCCCGCCCTGTTCCTTATACTAGCAACAGCCTAGATTTTTTTCCCTTAAGAATAAACGGCAAGTTAAACCTTCCTGTATAGCGAGTTATATTGCAGCGAAGTGGTTTTGCCTCTATTCTGTTGGCCGACCTGACAGTGGTTTAAAGCAACAACAGAAATAAAGAGATTGCCTGATTTTTTTTTTTCGGAAGGTGATGTAAAACGGAGAACTTGGGAAGGTGTGTCTTTGTTGTACGTGTTTGGCCAAATTGACGCCCCTGTGAATTTGTTGAACTTCGTGCTTGTTGTCCATGTTTACTCTTGTCTTTTGGAGCGTGTTCCTGCAGGTCAGGTCCCTGATTATGATGACTGTAATAAGTTCATCAAAGCGCCCACTCGTTAAAACAAGTAGATGTCTTTATGAGACCATATCAGAGAAATGTTTGCGTTTTGACTTTTCCGATGTTTGAGAAGTGACTTGGTCAGTCTAATTTGGTCCCTACTTATTTCTAAATGGCATTGGACTTGATTTTTGAGAATATTAGATCATATTCCTTTCAAATCCGAGTTTTAAAACCTGAGTAATCTCTTGGAGTGTGGTACCCACCCAGTTTGGCAAAGTCAGATCTGTTGAAATAAGTCATTTCTGGCTTCGTAGCTTACAAAATCCTTTGCATAAATATTTCACATGTGAAAACCAGTTGTGGGAGAATTGTTACGTGCCTCAGTTTCCCCAGTCTAGTTAACTGGTGGGAAAGTGTCTTTGCAGGTCGTAGAGACTTCCCCGTAGATGCTGGAGGAAAGGGGAAGTGCCCAGTGAAGCAGCCTGGCTCCTGAGGCGCAAGCAGGTCTGTAGCCTGCGAGATCCTGCGTGGAGAGAGCCGGAAAGGGTTTTCCGAACTGCCAGGAAGGGTGGCAGGTGTGAGAACGCTCCGAGATGCTCTCCTAGCACCTGCTCCTGAGGAGCTTTTAAAACTCGCCCTGCAGAAGGGGACCTGGCAGACTGCACCCCCTGCCGCCCCCCCACCAGTGTTCTGTGGTAACATTTTCCCACTCTTCGGCTGTGGAGTGTTGGGGTGGCCAGGAAGTCCGTCACACTTTTTCTGTAAAATAAAGGACATCTTTTTCATTTCCACCAACAGCATTGTTGATTTGAATGTTTTGAGTACATAGACTATGTCCTGTTGTTGGCTTCTAGTGGGCAGAGGCCAGGGGTTTCACTAAACACCTTCCAATGCATAAGGCAGCCCCAAGGCACAAAGAATTACTTGGTCAAAATGTTAGTAGTACCAACAAGCTTTGCAAACCACTCTTGACACGTTTGATCCGTCACAGTACATTGTCCATATACTGTACAAATCTTTTTTTATGTTTCAGTTGTGTTTTTACCTTTTTAGAAATAACAAAGCATAATATGTCCAAAATATTGTGTATTTTTTCCACCTTCAACATTAAAATGACTACACAAAAATTCACTAATTTTGGCGTGTTTTTTTTTAATGCATGCTGGTATGACAGCTGTCACAATACAATCTAACAAAATTTTTCAAATGAAGTTGAAGACAACTAAGCACTACTAGAGCTGTCATACAGAAAAAAAACAAACTAACTTTTTGGCTAAGCCAGTAACTTCTGACTAGACGTGTAAAGACTCTGCTGTATCAGCTCCAGCCAGCCTGCTTGTACTTGCTGCTAAAAGTCCAAATCAATTGAAAAGAACAGGTTAAACTGCAGTTTCAGAGCCAGGGCACTCTAGAGTAGGGATAACCTCACTACTTCTGTTCTTGTTTGGGCAGAATGAATTGGGCCAATGAGTGTTCCCTTAACCGTCTAGAGTCCTTTTGTTTGTTCAACAAGGCGAATGATTTAACCCCTCTTAATCTGGCCTTTCTCTTACACCAGTGTTTGGGTGATTTTACCCTTCCCGCTTGCAAAGACCACAGCTGTGTCCGTCTGGAGCTCAAAGCTTGTCCACGACACGATGGTTTGCTTTTTGGTCCATCACAAGGTAGAGCGGAAAGTGCAGACACCGTGGTTCTGTGTGATGGTGCTTGACCTTCTCAGCTGACTCGGAAGCTCCAGCTTCACACAGAGCTTCCAGTCTAGTGCGGAAACGCGGCTACAGGAGAAAGAAGAATGTTGTACGAATCCTAAGAGCTGTACAAAGCTTTCTAGACTCTCCAGGATGTCAGCGCTCACAAATGGCTGGGCAGATGTGGACAGTAGCCACAACTCTGGACGTCTCCTCACCTCCTTTCCGCACGATTCGCTTACTGACCCCTCCATTCAGTGCCCTTACTGGCGTGTGAGAGCCCAGGGTGTAGGAAGGGACACCTGGGCAGGAGCCGAGGCGTCGGGGTGGGCGGGAGAAGAAAGGATGTAGTTTTCAGATGACCGGTGGCTCTCTTTCCCTGCCTTTTCCAGAGAGTATCGTGTTTAGTGATTATTGGGAGGCTAACTGATTTCTAATTCCACCAGTTCTGTTTCTAGCAGATTGGGAAGGATTCAAGCAGTGAACTCATGTTAAAGAATTTCCCTGACCACAGACTAATTTAGCTGCCTTGTGAAACTGCCTTTTTGTTAGTTCTAAGGTCTAAGTTCTTTTGAAGTTGCTTTAGGTGAGCCCTTGCTTCTCTGCATCCGTTACAGGATGGAGGATGGCAGGCTTGGGCGGGGCAGGACGGGAGCTGCTCGGGGCCACTGCAGTCTGCAGCTGGAGCCATCGCTCCGGGCCTTGGCTGGGCTGCCGAGCCTCCGTTCCACTTCGGGCCCATGCTGAGCCCATGCTGAGCCTCCAGGAAAATATTTGGAACAATCGGGATGAAAATTCATGTTTCTGAATCTCATTGGGTTGCCCCCGACTTGTCCTACAAGTTGGATGGAAAACTACAGGTGTGCACAGTTTCCTCAATCATTTAAGCTACAGTTACTCCTCCTAGTTGTGGAATCTGTGAAATGTGAGCTATTAAAGGGACAGGCCACCCCCCAAATCAATGCATATATTAGGTATGGAGCTAAATTATGGTGAAACGGCCTCACTGTGCGTGTCTTTTAAGCCCATCTTTTATGCGGCATTTTGCCTTTTACTTTTGGAAGTCCTTAGTCATGCCCTGGCTGGTGTTGGCTCAGTGGATTCAGTGCTGGCCTGTGAACCAAAGTGTCGCCAGTTCCACTCCCAGTCAGGGCACACGCCTGGGTGTGCAGGAGGCACCCACACACTGGTGCTTCTCTCCCTCTGACTCCCTCCCTTCCCCTCTCTAAACAGTAAATACACCTTTTAAAAGAAAGGTCTTAGACAAAGTCCTTTTCTGAGGCTGAGTGGTTTATGACAGTAAATGAATCTGGTTACTACCCATAAATCTAAGTGGAGTTGAAATCTTTAATAACAGATGAAGAACCTCAGAAAGGGTTTCTGTCCTGAGTGGCCTGCGTGGGCAGCTTGACGGCTCTCTGTGTGGAGTCGACATTGGGAGATTTCGGAAGCATGAGTTGGTGTCTGGGCGGCTGGTGATGGTGGCTGCTGGCACCTGGAAAAGGTAGGCGAGCCTCGTTTTTCTCTGCTCTGCGGTCAGAATGCGCCGCCCCTGCAGAGGAGCTGCTCAGCTAACTCGTGTGGCCGCTGCTCCTGCCGCTGCCCCTCCGGGCAAATGTGGCGCAGGTGCTCTAGCGAGGCGGGGGGTGGCGGGGGCAGAAAACCCCCCTCGGACCCGTGGTAGCTCTCACAGCCAGTCTCGTTCCACAGCGCACTGCTGCAGGGTGACGAACACGGGCGTCACCATATGCGTCTGCTGGTGAGCGTGGGCTGGGTGAGTGTGGTGGCATGGGAAGGGCTTGCGGGGACTGGGGACTTCCCTTGTCCTCCGAGGGAGTGGGCGGGGTAGGGATTTCCCCGTTCTTCCAGAAGGCGGCAACTAGGGCATTAGGTGAGCCGGGCGGTTCCTTCCCGGCTCGCAAGCACCTGCTCTGCTCTGTGGCCCGGGCACAGCGGAGGGCAGGACACACGCCTGTCTTCACGGAGCCCGCAGCGTGGAGGGGCGGTGGGCCGTGGGCCGACGGCTCGCAGACACCTGTCTCTGCCCGAAGGGAGCCCAGCCCGATGGGGGAGGGGCCCTCCAGAGGGTCGGGCTGCCCGGCTGCCCGGTGTCCGGCCCAGGGCCTTGGCTTCTTAATGTTATTTTCTCTTTGAAAAGGGAGCAGATAAAATAAATCAGCTGATAAATTTGTAAGTTTATCAAGCCCATAGCACTCAGTACAAAAAGGCTATGTTTAGCCTTGGAAATAAACCATCAAATTAATTCACTGGAACTGCAGTTGCGGGTTTCTCACATGTCCCACTCCCCCCACCCCCCGCTGCACAGGAACCCAGTTCCACGTTCCCACCCAAGCGGGGGGTGGGGGGGGACTGGTCGTGCAGACTGTTCTGGAGTTTCGGGCCTTGGAAGGTGGGACCGCTGCGGGACGGACCGGTGGGAAGGGCAGGCTGGAGCCCTCCAAACCTACGCTCAGGGCCTGGGTGTGCCGTCTGTCACTCAGGCGACATCTGCAAAGTCCTGGCACGGCTGACCTCTTCACTGTCTTGGCCCTCCCGCAGGCGGAGGGTCGCCAGTGTTCAGGGGCCCTGGGCATCCGCAGAAATGGTAGGTGAGACGCCCACCTGGGCGGGAAGAGCCTTCCTGCTCCCAGGACTGGTTCCAGCCCCTCCCCACTGTTCCCACTTGTTGCTGGGTGAACGGGCCCTGTCCACACACGTCTCCCTGCGGGGCTGCGCCTTGCGCCCGGGCCCTGTGGGCTGTGGGCCTGATGCGAACCGACAGGGCCCGGCGCTCACACGGCAAGAAATTTGTCCTAGAGGGTAGGGGGATATAAGGGGACTGAAAGGTTATGTAAAAAAAAATACAATAAAGATTTTAAAAGAGATTTGTCATCAGCGATAGGTTTTTAATCTCTGAGCTAGGTGAATTATTGTCTATTAAAAGTCTAGTAAACAGTCCTGGCTTGTGTGGCTCGGGGAGGCTGGGTGTCCCGCAGACTGAAAGGTCGTGGGTTCAATGCCCGGTCAGGGCACATGTCCGGGTTGCAGGCCAGGTCCCCGGTTTGGGGGCGTGTGGGGAGACAGCTGAGCAGCGTTTCTCCGGCACACTGATGTTTCTCTCCCTTGCTTCGTCCCTCCCTTCCCCTCGCAAATAAATAAATGACTAAGTAAACTAACTTGCTTTTGTGTTCCTGTGTCGGTCAGAACTCCATCTCCCAGTGGCGGAGCCGTTTGTGGGAGCGTGTCTAGCTCCGCAGTCCAGCTGCTGGCGTCTCCCCGGTCTCCGTTCCCCTGGCGACGCAGATGCTGTGGCTCCGTTCCCCTGGCGACGCAGATGCTTGGGCGAACCCAAGACGACTTAGCGGGGTCGTCGTCACGGTGGGGTCAGCGGCCGCCGCTGGGGGAAGCAGAGCCCTCCTCACCGCACCGCAGCGCACCCCAGCCCAGTCCGGAGCTGCGCTGCCCCTCCCCCAGCCTCCAGGCCCTCTTCAGGGCACACTTCCTCCTCTCCTCGGGCGGCCCCCTGTTGTGTGTGCCGGGTTGGGAGGGTGGGGTGGGCAGAGGACTTGGCTTTGCTGTGAACCGCCACCCTGCGCCGCCCGAGGAGGGGACGGGCGTCTCCTTGCATCGTCATGCCCGGAGTGCGGCCTCGCACGGCCCGCGTGTCTGCTCCTGACCTGTGGCCGCTCGTCCCGAGGCAGCGCTCACCCCAGTGGTCAACGGCCAGCGCCCACCCCACCCGCGCAGCTTCCCCTGCGCTCATGGACGACTGGGCACTTCGTCTGCCATCTTCCCCCCCAAACCTGAGCCAGAGGTGACTCCTGGAGGGCTGGGGTCGGCGCAGGCCCTCTGCGTGTTACCCTGGCGACGCCGGTCACCTTCGTTTCCACCCCCGCAGCTGCCGTGTCCTCGCGGTGCCCGCGCCCAGCGCCGCGTCTGCAACACTGGACCTCCCGGGCTCCCGCGCCGTCCGCGCTCACACCCGCCCTGCCGGTACCCCGGCGCTGCGGCCGCAGACCCTTCCGCGACCCCGCCTTCCTCCCCAGACCGGAACGCCGCGGTCGGTCACAGCGTCTTCGGCTTCCCGCTCTGCTTACGGCTGACGACACTTCCCCCTTGGATCAGCCCACTGCTGTCTGCACCTCTGAAACGTGGGGTCCGCTGGCGGAAACCCCGCTCGTGTCCGGAGGTCTCTGCGGTCTTCGGCACCGGCTGAGTGCGCGGTGTCTCTCGACAACCCTTTTTCCTTGTCCCGACTCAGCCCCTGCACCGCCGTGCTCAGCGAACTCTCGGGGCTACCTCCCTCAGAGTCCTCAAGAAATCCTCTTCTGTCCATCTCCCACACCCTGCGGTGGCCCGATTCCCCGGCCGCCTACTTCACGAAAATTGGGGGGATCAGAACTTATTTCCTGCCCTGGCTGGTGTGGCTCAGCGGGTTGCGCGCTGGCCAGCAAACCCAAAGGGTCGCGGGTTCTATTCCCAGTCAGGGCACGCTCCTGGGTTGCAGGCCAGGTCCCCGGTAGGGGGTGCGTGAGAGGCAATTACACACTGTTTCCCTCTCTAAATTCAAAAAAAAATTTTTTTAATTAATGTAATTTGACATATTAACATACTAAAGAAAAACATCTCCTCGCACTCCAGCTGTCCCTTTGTGCCGTCCCCCCTACACGCTGACACGCACCCCGCATTCGCGCTGCCGCCCCTGGCCGAGCTGCGCCCTCTGCCTGTCCTCTTGCCCCACCTCCCCCTGTTCCCTGTGTCCCTGCACGTGGCTTGTCTCCCCCCGCCCCCCAGGGCACCTGCCGGTCTCCCTGCCTCCCGCTCTACCTGTCGGTCCTGGCACCGGGCACCGTGTCTCCCGCAGTCCTCCAGACGCCCCGCCCCCTACCTCGTATTGCGCCTGAACAGGTGAAGGACTCACCCCCTCTCACCACTCCGCACGGGCTGCCTCTGCCCCTGGGACCCCCACCCTGGCCGGCGCGGCCACTCTCCTTTGTCTTCGCCCTCTCCCTTCTGCCTGGGGCCCCTCTCGCTGCTCTGCCCGCCCTGCCGCGCCGCCCGACCCGCTCTCGCGGCTCAAAGCCACCTCTGTGCTGGCCCCGCCCAGCTTCTGCCTGTCGGGACTCCCCCCAGAGCTCTAGACCCGCGCCCTGCGGGGGCCCCACGGGCAGCTCACTCCCTGGGTCCCCTGACCGGCCCTCCTCGCCCTTCCCTCGCCCTCTGCCACAGGTGTCTCAGTCCCCACCGGGCAGCCACCGACCCCGATGCATCTGCCTCCTAAACAGTGGCCACGGTTTTGAAGCCGACAGGGCGCGTCACTGCCGCACCTGCCCTGGAGCAGGCCCCGCCCGGCTCTCACCTAGCCCTCCGCCAGCCGGCTCCTCCGCCTGCCCCTGTCTTCCCTACCCCCAAGGCCCCCCTGAGGTTTTTCTGGCATGCAGACGAGACCACATCACTCCCGGGTCCAAGCTGCGGGGGGGCCCGGGGCCTTAGGGTCACCCAGCCCCTCGGCAGGGCTCTGGCCGGCCTCTTGGCTTCTCCCTCTGCCCTGCTCCCTCTGGATGTGTGCACGTGCGCCGTGGCGTCCATACCTTTGTTTCCAGACCGTTCTTTCCGCCGCCCAGAGTGTCCTTCCCCACCTCCTCATTCCTCAGCTCGACTCCTCTTCCGAAACAGCTCAGAGGACACCCCCCCTCGAGTGGGCACTTTCACAGCGTTCTGCCAGACTGCAGTCGTCCTGACCTTACAACGGGAGGGCTTGCTGATGCGTCTGCTTTCCCACGAAGTACGCCTTCTCCGAGGGCGGGGGCCCAATCTCGTCTGCCTCCTGGTCCCGGCCGGAAGCGGGCCGGCCCAGAGGGAGCGGTCAGTGGGAACACCTGGGGAGGCGGCTGCGCGTGTCCTCTGCTACCCCCTTGGCCTGTGGAGCCCGGCCGGGCTGTAGCTGGGCGGTGCGGAGAGGTGGCAAAGCAGAAAAAGCAGGGATTCTGACGCCAGGCAGACCTGGATTTGAACGTTTGCCCCACCGTTCACTGGCTAAGTGATCTCACTCGCGTTTCTAACCCTGTCTGGGCCCCTGGATCTGGACCATAGGACTCTCACTCTGTAAGATTGTTGGAAAGTTTGAGTGAAATAATGCACACAAACCTGGCCTGCAGTAGGTGCTAAATAAACATCTGTTTACTCATCTGTTACTGTTTTCCTCTCCCTCCTGCTCTGCCCTGACGTCTGGCCCCCAAGGAGGTTCGTTGCTGGTGGCTGTGCCCCTCTGTCCTGGTGCCTTGGCCCACACGCCCTGAGTTTATTAAGGAAGCCTTCCTCACACCATTCAGAGTGCCCCCCCAAAGAACCCCTTCCTGGTCTCCCATGCCCCCCACAGCAGGTAACAGCCCTTACTACTCGGCCAGCTGTCTTTTCGTTACTGGATAGTTCCTAGGTGGGAAGCTTCTGGAAGGCAGGCGGTTCCTTCCTCCTTCTTGTGGCCCTCCGCGCTCCTGCGCACCCAGAGCTGGGACACGCTCGCCATTCAGTGAGTGCTGGCGTGCTCAGACGGGGCGAGGGGGGACAGCAAGGTGCCTCTCCACTGGGCTGGGCACTGGCCAGGGGCTGAGCTTGTTTGTCCTTCAGAGTTTCCTTCCCTTCTGCTATATTTTTCAAGAGAGAGAGAGACACACAGGTTGGTTGGTCCACTTTTCTGTACTTTAACCCTGGGCACGGGGACGGTGCTCTGACCAACCGGGACACACCAGTGAGGGCCCATCCTCTGCACTGTCTGAGTGATAGGACTTTGCAAGCAAACCAACGAATGTCTGGAAATTAGACAATTCTAGAAAAAGTCATCAGTCTTGGAATTAGTTTACAGTTTAGTTCTTGGAATGTGAGGAAAATAAAGAATATTGTTTGCCTGAGACTGCGTGAAGGTGTTGTGTGTGCCTATTTCTCAGAAGCACATTCAGAAAGGAAATCCTCGCCCTGGCTGGTGTGGCTCGGTGGATTGAGTGCTGGCCTGCAAACCGAAGGGTCGCCGGTTCAATTTCCAATTCGGACACCTGCCTGGGTTGTGGGCCAGGTCCCAGGGTGGGGGGTGGGGCGAGAGAGAAGCAACCACACATGGATGTTTCTCTCCGTCTCTTTCTCCCTCCCTTCCCCTTTGTCTAAAAATAAATAAAATCTTTTTTTGAAAAAGGAAATCCTTCAAGCAGGTTGACTCTGGAAAGATAATCTCATTTTGACCCACCCAGCTGCAGCTGACGCAGTCTCCCAGCCAGACTCCCACACTGAGCGAACGGTGTCACGAGGAAAAGCCTGTCACCACAGCTGCCGCAACAGTGCATGTACAGTGACCGTCTCCCATCGAAACAAACGCCTCTCGATGGGTGCGTTGATCCAGCGGGCAGCAGGTAATGAGCGAACAAATACACATCCACTTTACAGTCAGAAAAGCTGGTAGTGATGAAGAAACGTCGTGGAAACCAAATCATCGATTTTGAATTTGTGCTTTTCCCCCCTTATTGTTTCTCCTTTTGTTTCTCGGATCTTTTGGGCGCTTTAGCCAACGGCAACGTTTCCCTACCAGAAGGAACAAGGACAGTTGAAAGCTCCCTCCCCATTGAAAAGCTGCTTGTGCCCTGGCTGGCGTAGCTCAGTGGATTGAACGCGGGCTGCGAACCAAAGTGTCGCAGGTTCGATTCCCAGTCAGGCCACATGCCTGGGTTGCAGGCCATGGCCCCCAGCAACCACACATGGATGTTTCTCTCTCTCTCTCTCCCTCCCTTCCCTCTCTAAAAATAAATAAATAAAATCTTTGGAAAAAAAAAAGCTGCTTGTAATGAAGTGGTTAACCACCTTCAGCTGCTCCCCTTACTTCCTGCTTCCTCCTCTTGTGGTTCAGGAGGGAGTTGTTTAACTGCTCAGCACCTGGATGCTCCGTCCAGGGCACGTGGGCCTTTTCCATCTCTGAAATGTCCCTGGAGTCAGTCACTGTGTCCCCAGGGCCCGCGGCATTTGTTTCATCACTGTTGAGTCACAGACCGGAGGAGCAGGTCCGCCTCGGGCCAGCGGGCAGTGCGCGGGCTCTCTGTGCAGGGAAGGGCTTGCGGCACCAGCCCAGGTGATGTTGCGAGTGTGTTGATTAAAGCTGGGGACACAGAGCAAGGGGTTGAAGTAGAAGCAGCAACAGGAGGGAGCCCAGGGGGGGCTGCTTGTCTCTTTAAGAAATAAAAGTAAAAGTAGGGAGGTCAGAGAAAAGGGGGGTCTTGGAGACAGGTTCGGGGAGTCATCCCAGGATGAGCTGCCGCCGCCACCCACTGCTCCCCTGGTTGCAACTCTCGTGGGGACCCTTAGAGTCTAGGAGAAAATAAAGCCGAGACACAAGGTGTGGGCTGCTCTAGCAAGAACCCAAAGGGAGGTCTCGGCGGGGTGGGGGGTCTCACAGAACTTTCATCAGCTTCCCAGGTGTGTCTTTGGAGATGTTAACTCATTAAAATGTGTGTACAGTGGGGTCTGGAGTTATTTTCTGGTTGGTTTCATTTTCCAAGAACGTCAGTGAATCCCTGACCGTGTGGCTCGGTTGGGTGTCATTCTGCCAAATGAAGGGTCGCCAGTTCAAATCCCAGTCAGGGCACATGCGTAGGCTGCAGGTTTGGTCCCCAGTGAGGGTGCTTATGAGAGGCGACCGATCATGGATGTTCCCCTCTTCCTCCCTACCCCTCTCTTTTAAAAGAGTCATGAAGAGGAACCAGGGCGGTGGGATGTGCAACCCGCGTGCTCCTAAGTGTCCTTGGTTAGGAAGGATGAACCCTTGTGAGCCCGTAGCTGGATGTAAGTCGCTCCAGTTGTTGGGTCTTGTGTCAGTGTTGGGGTGGCCGAAAAGTCCGTTTAGTTTTTCCCGTAAAACAAAAGACTTTTTTCACTGTCACCAATCACTTCATTGATCTGGATATTTTGAGCATGTCAGCTATCTCTCATGGGGTAGAACACTGATTGTCCTCAATGAATGTCTCTCGATTTGATTGCCATTAACTTCAACTCCTCACCCCAATGACCGTGGAGTCTCGTCCAGAGAGAAACCTCCAGCACGAAACCTCACAAACCACTTTGGACACATCCGATCGGCCCCTGCACCTTCTCCACACACTGTACAAATCTTTTCTTGCATTTCGGTTGCGTTTTTACCTTTCTTGGAATAATAAAACACAATATGCTAAAAATGTTGCGTATTTTCTTCCATCTTCAATATTAAAATGGCTACACAAAAATTCACCAATTTTGATTAAAAAATTTTTAAAGATTTTATTTTTAGACAGAGAAGGAAGGGAGAGGATCATCAGCGTGTGGTAGCCTCTCGTGCGCCCCTTCCTGCGGACCCGGCCTGCACCCCAGGCACGTGCCCTGGGCTGGGAACGGAACCGGTGACCCTTCGGTTCACAGGCCCGCGCTCAGTCCACTGAGCCACAGCAGCTAGGGTGGAGTTTTCCTAGCTTCTTGCTGCCCTGCCTCAGGTGTACGGGGCTCATCAGTCTGTCCCCCCAGTAAACTACTCAAAATACAGCCGCAAAGAATTCCCCTCACCCAAGAGCAAGTGCCCCGGGCAGCCGCCCTCAGTCACCCCCAGAGCGCAGCCAGGACCAGCAGACCAGAGTCATGCTTCAGGAAACCGCTCGTTCCTGGGGGAAGGGGGGGGCTACCGTTCTCTCACTTGGGGCGAGTCACAGAGTTTGAGTCACGAGAGACCCTAGAACTGGCACAGTCCAAGCACGTGAGACACGCAGGGGAGGTGTCAGGGCAGGCTGAACCGCCAGCGGCCTTTCCGTGCTCATCCTGGTGGCCACCTGGTGTCCGGGCCAGGTCACAGGGCCAGGTCACGGGGCCGTCCCAAGTCAGCCCTCCAGCCCTGGTCTCTTCTGGAAGGCTCCATCAGCCCAACTCCTCCCCGGCGTGATGTCTCTCTCACAGTCACACGGGGTTTTCCACCGTGACCCAGCGGTGCCCGTCCCTCCCGGCCTCAGAGCCCTGGCTGCTGGGTCCTCCCCCTGCCGCCGCCCTGGATGCCACCTCCTAGCATGCCCTCCCTCTGACAGCCGCTGCCCTCCGACCTGCGGGTTTCTGCAACCCGGGCCTCGGGCTTTGAGTGTGCTCCTCAGTGTCTGCGAAAGCTCCCCCTGCCCCCTCCCCCCACCCGCTCTGCTTCATACGCCGGGTCCGGCAGAAGCCAGGCCTGCCCGGGTGTGGTCGGTAGGGTAACAATATGGGTGTGATCATTCATAGTTCTAATCCGCACGTTTCACCCACAGGGGCACAGGGTGCGCGGAGTTACAGAATGACATGCTGAAGGTTTTATAATAAAGGGTTTGTAATAGAAAGGGGGCGTGATTTGTGCCAGACCCTGTGTATTTATTTCTGTTTCGGGAGCACAAAGAAAGGGAGGGGAAGACTCGCACTCATGACCCCGGGCAAGGCGGGGGACTGAAGACACACTGACCTGTTGGACTCAGGGCAAGGGCGTGACGTTGGAGGCCCCGAGGCCTGGGGGCGGGGAGACCCACATCCGGGTGGCTGGCCCCGGCAGGAGCTGGAGCCTGCCTCTGGGACCGCATTCCGGATGGTTCTCCCGGGAGCAGGCCAGAGTCACCCTGCCTGTCACGTGTGAGGCTCACTGTCGAGGTCCCCCCTCTCTGGTCCCGGCCCGCCCCTCTTCCTCTGCTCTCCTTTCTGCATCGAGCCAGAGCCTTCCTCTACTTCCTGTCCCCCACCTCTCTCCTCCCTGCCTGCCCCCACCGCCCCCTCGCTCAGCGGCTGCCTCTTTAATGCAGTTCGTGCGGGCTGGGCGTTCGCACGTGTCCCATTCGTGGGCTGTGGCGTTGTGTGAGTTGTGTGACTGGTACAGCCAGCAGATCAGTTACGATCTGGCTCTTTTCCCCTCGAAAAACTCCAGCCTGAGTTACTTTTTCAGTCCACCGGCCTTCATCGATTTTTCTCCCCGTGGATCGATGAGCTACAGAAAAGTCCCCACCCCCACCCCGCTCTGGGAATGCCTCCCAGGGCCCCCGCTGCGCTGCGTGTGCGAAGCTGAGCCAAGCCCCACGGCCCACCCTCCAGGGCTGCTGCTTTCCGTTCGTCCCCCGCCGCACACACCTGGGCACACACCTGGGAACGGGGCGGGGTGGGGGTGCCTTCCTCCAGCCTCGGGCTGGGGAACAGGTGAGCTGGGCGCCTCCTTCCCTGGGCTGCGCGCAGGACTACAAGGACCAGCCAGGTGAAAACATCCCCGGACTCCCCGGTAACCGGGCTTCTGGTGAACACGGGCCCGCTGCAATCGGACGCCCGGTGTGGGAAGGCTGAGGTCAGGCAGGAAAAGGGGCCCTGCGATGAATCACACAGGCCTGGCGACCCGAAGTGACCTCACAGGGCGATCTGATCCTGAATTCCTCGCGGGGCAGATCATAGGTAGCCGAGCCCCAGGCACGTAGCCTTCTAGTAAACGGCTCACCTTTGCCTCAGAGGGGCCCTTCTGTCCCTGCACACCCAGGTTCGCAGGGCCCGCAAAGGCCGGTGATCTGGTTTTTCCGGCCCCTCGGGGCGCGCAGTCTTGCAAACTGTCCTGCAGGCCCTCCCCACCCCCTGCTTTCTCCAACATGCGCC